TCCTCCCACCTGACGTAGAGATACGTCCTCCCAGAGCTAAATTCACGCTAAAAAACGAGAAATACCAAGCAATATCAAACAATAACGAGGAATATCATCATGTGAAGACCAATACCGAGTTATACCGAGCTATACCGAGCAATATAAAAAAATACCTAGTTTTTCCTAGAAAGAACTCGGTATTTTTTGTATTGCTCGGTATTGCTCGGTACAGCTCGGTATAACTCGGTATTGGTCTTCACATGATGATATTCCTCATTATTATCAAATAATACCTAGCAATACCGAGCAAAAACCGAGTTTTTTGGCGGTGGGAGGACGTATCTCTACGTCAGGTGGGAGGACGCAATAAAAATTCCTTAAATAGAGACTGTTGATATTTGTTAAGATCCTGATCATATGTATGTTTATTATATAGACCTTTTTTTTGTATTATCATGATAATACATATATTTTAGTGGAGAGCGAGATTGTATTGTAATTGTTTTTTGTTGTATAGTTTAATAAAATAAATGAGAAGATGTTAACTCTTATGTGTACTGTGGTCTCTAGAACCAATGGATCGCGACAAGTCATTACTAGTAGCAATGACTTCCTTTTTCATTACCTCATTCTATTCATATCCCTCTCCCTTGTTCAATCTTATTCATCAAATGGCACTCAGTTCATATCTTGAAGTTCGATTATTGACAAGGTTCGATGGATAGGACCTTAAGACGCTCTTCGACCCCACACAGCTGAACAATGATGTTAAATAGAGTTTTTTTTTTAGAGTGACACTTTTCGTTAAAAGAGCTAAAATTTGAAACACTCCATTTGACTCCACTTGATCAGAGACTGTTCTTTCAGCATTTTGGTGCATTAATAACGTCAAATTTAATCAATCTTGGGGGCATAGATTATTATCTTTGGGACGATTAGTTTGACTAAAAGTATATAAAATTTGAATATCATTTTATCACCCAATTAATGTATCAAAGTTTTCAATTATATTTCAAATGCTTGAATTAAACTCATTTGGAGTTGAATCAAATCACTTTTTGATACCAATGAATTCCTCTTGTCTAAACATTCAATTCAATTATAAATTTATTGAATGGCAGTTTAGATGGCCATGAATTTGATTCTAGAAGTTCATAATTTAAAATGCATAGAGATTCATACCCAATAAATCAGATTTTCATGACGTCATTTATGTATTATTTAATATTAATATTACCATATTCTATAATATTTGCTGACATAAAGGAAAAGTTCATCTTAATATTACATAAAATTAATTTCTTCCCCACATATAGGTTGTGAGTATCATTTTTTTTAATGTGAAAATCCAAGAAATAGAAAAAAAAAATAATGGGTAATCTGACACTTCTTATCAGGACCAGAAATCAAGAAAGTGAGCATCATACATTGATGGTTGAAAAGCATGTGCTCATATTGATCTATTGGTTGGGAGCTTTGTCCGCCAGTTATGAGGTCTTAGATTTGAGTCTTGTATATGCGATGTGTGTGACAGTCTAACTTAATTGGCCTAAATTTTTTAAAAAAAAATTATTTGTATGTATTAAGTGATGACCAATGAGGAATGTAAGAGACCAAGCGATGGTCCACAATTGGTCGGATCACTCCTCTGATAGAAAAGGATACAACACAGTTAAATACAAGTGGTTATCCATGGGCGTTCAACGATCGACGAGGAACTTCAAAGGTCAAGCGAGGGTGGTTGGCCCAACCATTCTCTTAAGAATAGTAAAACATTGAGTATTATCAATCTACGTGATATTGGCGAATAAGACTTCATAAGACTTCATTTCATTTGGAGCGGCTTTTTAATTGCTTCTTAAAACAAAGTTTTAGTACAAAAAATGTGCCTAAATCGATTACTTTTTGTACTGTAGAAGGTATATCTATTGCCAACTTAGTTTGAGATATTTCCTCATTTGAAGGAGACAAAGTATGCAAGGGAGATTTTTTTCATCAGGACTCGCTCAACTCTTTAGCAATATTAGTGAGTGCATCTGTTTGACTGTTATCGTATTGGGGCACTCTCATCAAATATAATGTCAGGAATATACAAAAACAATATCAAAGGAAAGTATTAGCTTTGAATTCCAAGCTAAACATCCTAATAGTATTGGTCTGATCATCTAATAATTTAGAAGATTTGCTTATGAGATAGGATTAATCTTATGCAATAAGAGGTAAAGCCTGAACTTTTACATCATAAAGAATAAAAATAAAAACTCACATTTAACAAAGTTCACATTGTGAAGATGCTCAAAAACAATCCTAAGAACATAAAGGTGAGCCACATGAGACTTCGCTTTTGATAACCAAGTCATTAATGAACCATCCAATCACTTAGTTGATGAGTTTGTCAAAAAATATGATCATTATTAGTTGTTAAGTAACATAGACATTTTAAGGTAAACGAATATTAACTTAACAATAAAATATTAATTAGCATATTTATCTATTTATAATCAAATGAGTCATTCTTATAGGATAACATGATATGGGATGTGGAAATCTTAATCATAGACTCAAACTATGTAGTAAAAAATTGTTTTTTTGATAGGCCTCATTCGAGTTATGAAAACCATTCAAACGTCAAATTATCTATATTCTTTTATTCAACATAGAAATGATATTGGCTGAACATTTTGAGCGGAGTTCTTTCGAAATGAAGCCAACATGAAGGCACTTCCTTGTATATGCAATCACCTATTCTTCAATTTATAATCCATTCTATGAGGAGATTATTGCTTAAGAACTACGTAAGACAAGATAGCCAATTTATGAACCATAGTTTTGGACAAATACATAAATTTTGCATGACCTACAATTAATTATATCCTAGGTATATGGATATTAAAATACTTCCTATTAAGATCGTTGATTAAATGAGTTCTAATAATTTGGTTTAAGCTATGCAAGAGTTCAAAGGAGAAGATGCATAATAGTTTTTGCATTGAATGCTAAAGAGAAACTACAAATTTGTAACCATAGTCGATTAAGTATGCCTAAGCATACAAGGTAAGTTGTTCATTTTTTATTGAACTTTATCAGATAAAATAGAAAAAAAAATGTTATTTCTATTTTAAGATAAAATATTTTATATTATTATTCATTTTTAAAAATAGGTCTTCCAAGTAAAATTCTATCTTACTATAGTTCGGTAAAACTCAAATATAATCAACTTAGTAAACTAAGTTTGCCTGAATGTGAAACCTTAAAAGATAAAGAGTGCTCTTTAGTAGAACACCAGTGCTTTATTCAAATCTAGAATCCAAGTGAATACTAAGGCCTAATTCAAACCTAGATATCAATGGGATGTCTAATAAATCTATGTAAATCCTAAGAGGCCTAGTCGATGAAACCAATCTAGTCAATCTAAAATGGACCTAAGCTAGTTGAATACCCTAACCCTAATCTAAAGACCCAATGGACTAAGTGGGTTAGGGATGTGCCCTTCAAACCTATTTGATACTCAATTGAGTCAATTGAATGTTAAAACCATATCCTTAGATTTCAATCAAGCCTAGAGAGACTCTAGGAGTTTGGTTAACAAACCTAGCTCAATTAGACATGGTAAACCCATTAAGTTAGTTAAGGTTGGTTGACACACACTAGTCCGATTTCACCAAATCGATTTAGTTGACTTCTCGCCTAAAACCTATAAACCACCAAAGCCAACCCAATGCATCTAATAAGTTAAAATAACCATCTTTGCTTAATTTTACCTAAATGGTTGATTTAACCCAACTCTACAAATTAAATCAATGAAACCCTAGTTGGCCATCTAGTTAAATTGATTAGGTTAGCTTGAACGTAAGCCTAATTTGACCAACCATAAAGTTTTCAGGGATCTAACCTAATTCCTAAATAGTTAACCTAACTCAATCAAGCCCAAATTAGCCAAATTCAATCCAATCCAAGCTCAAGGTGATCTAGCAAGATCAACTGAGCTCAAGGAAGCTTAATTTACTCGATATTTCACCTTAGTTCTTCTCCTTGGGCATCATATTCATGTCAGGCTTCAGATCCTCAATATATGGTACTCACATCTTTAGACCTAATTGATCTTATTGGGTATGGCTCCTATTTTTGTTGAGAACTACTTATAAAAAGACTCGATAGGCTACTTTTCTTCCGCCCACATAACTCTTGATATGTAATAAATGCAATCCTCACTTCTAATGTAATAATTTGTATTTTGACCCAAATAAATAATTTTTTTATGAGTCATTTTAAGTCCAACTCATTTTTTCATAATATAGATATTAATGTGTTTTAATTATAATAAATTTTTTGTAATTTTTAGGCACTAGTACAAGTCCTTAAAAAAACTGACACTTATCAATACAAATGAAAATTTTGGGACCGTCAGGTATCCGTTTTGCAAACCGATTTCAATAAAGTTTTCTAAATAAATTGAGCAATTTTATGAATATTTTCTATAATTTTTGAAACACAAAAAGGATTTATATGAATTTCATATTAAAAATTGATTAAATTATCTAATTATAATTATATTATATTATTTATTTTATTATAAATATCCTAAGTCACTAACATAAAATCCATTTCTATCCTAAAATCAACTAACAAAGAGGATTTAGGGAATTTAGAGAGATAATAAAGGAGAGGGAAAAGAAAATATTGGGTTTGGAGACATCAGATAAAATTGGAACGATAAAGAGAAGATTTGCATGGACCCTGCACAAGGATGACACGCATAAATTGAGAAATGCAAGGGAAATTTAGAGAGAAATGTGAGGAGAAAGAAAAAATTTAGAGTTTGGATGTCGCAAAGCGATTTTCATCAGTCGATTTTGTTGGGAAGTTTGTTCGTTTCACTGTAATAAATTATTATTCTATTTTTTTATTTCAATAATTTGATGTTTTTGATATTTTTTTATCAAATTTTATTTTCAATAACTAAAAATGAGGATAATTTATATTGGTAAAACTTTCACCACACAACTCTTGATATATAATAAATGTTATCAATATGAGCATTTTGACTGTAATATATTGATCGAATTTTCATCAGTTAAATTGACAATTATGATTTTTTGAAGTAAAAGTATAGTAAATAATTTTGATAGATTTCCCTGTATTTTTCATTATTGCATTGACTTACATTACATAGAAAATATAGCATTTGTATGTAAGCAAGGAAAACTAGCTGTTAACACTATAATGAATACGAGTTGGCTCTTAAAACATAATATTTTGCGCAGGAGGGTGATCTGACAAGTTTTCCTTTAAATAAAAGGTTGGTGGTGAAATCCTAATTGTAGCTTATAACTAATTGACTGAATTACACCAACGGATAGAGGGTGACGACTCTTAAATTATTATTGTAAGCCACTTGTGAAAAAATGATTAAGATAATATAATATTGATAGATTTATAGCTATCACAGATAACTTATTTAACGAAAAAACACCACATTAAAGCTGCATATACTGCCTTGCTTTTCATAATTATGCTTATGATATTTACTTTATAGTACATTAAACTGATTGATAGATATAATTGAATTCGTATTGGCATTAATATTAATATAACATAGTATATCATACTAGCATGGCTGATTGAGTGAAAGCCTTCTTTACTTTGTTTTTTTTTCTTTTAGTTTTGTTTGAGTAGATCTAAAATCGGACATATGAAGTATAATTTAAGTAATAATAAATCAAGTGGGGGGGGGGGATTGTGACTTTGGGCGATACAGTCATTAATAAGAGTAAACATTTTGGATCTATTGTTCAGAGTGATGGTGAAATAGATAGGGATATTATTAGTAGAATTCAAGTTGGATGGTTAAAGTGGAGGAATGCATCGGGCTTATTGTGTGATAGAAAATTCCACCTCAAACTTAAGTGTGGTGAGACCTACAATTCTTTACGGTGCAGAATGTTGATCATTAAAAGAGAAACACAATATTAAGCTACTGTTGTAGGGATGAGGAAGTTCAGGTGGATGAGTGGCTTTACTCTTAGAGACATGATACAAAATGAGTATATAAATGAAAAGGATAAATTAGAGAGAGTCTCCTTAGATGGTTTGGTCACATAAAACGACGGCCTTCTGATGACCCATTTAGGAAAGTAGATGTATTAGATTTTCCTTATGTTAAAAAAGATAGAGGTAGACCTAAAAAGATATGGTTAAAAAATATTAAATATGAGCTTTCTTTATTAGATTTAAATGAGAATTTGACTATTAACATAACACAATGGAGAAAAATGATACATGTAGTCGACCCCACGTAGTGGGATAAAGGCTTAATGTTCTTGTTGTTGTATTATATTTAATAGGTTTAAAAAAAAATAATTCTATAATCCTTAGTTGCTTCTTTTATGTATAAAAAAATTCTAAATTTTAATATTTTTAATCAAACCAAGTTGAACACGAGCCAAATAAGCTCAATTAAATTAAAACAAACAAAACACAAACACATTATTTGAAAGCAATTTCAAACACTATTAAATTTAAACAAACCAAACACAAACACATTATTTGCAAGCAATTTAAAAAAATACATATATTTGCAAGCAATTTCGAACACAAGTCAATCTGAAATAAATATTAATTCAAACGAGCCCAACACGAACATGCACCTAGCTCGCTCAAGCTCAACTCATTTACATGTCTAATTATCCCCCAACATCTAGCAACAACAATGTTAGACATTTGTCGCTTATCCATTTCTAATTATTGTCTTCTTGGTCATCCAATCTCTATTAGGAGAGCGACCAACTCCACTAACCAACATTATTAAGCTTCCTCGTCAGCCATTATCAAATGCCTAACAACGATCAACAATTGTCATCGGCCGTTCATAGACTACTAATGTTTGACACTCGCCTTCTCAGCCGCCATATCTCAAACCAAGTAACCTACTCAGCATCACCTATTAATAGCTCTAATACCTCAAAAAACCTAATATCTTCACAGAGAAACTCTTCACAATTTATATTTACTAAATTGTATTAATGTCAAATTTACAGAAGCCTGCTTGTTTTAATCACCTACTCAATATTAATTAAATAATTTTAATTGGGCAAGGATCAAAGCCATTTATCCTTCTAGAAAATTCCAAATTGAAAATCTTATATTGCATGTATGTTGTTATCAACTCATATGTGTGCATAATTCCTTAGCAATACTAAGACGATGAACCTTCTACCTACCATTACAAATATTCCAGAACACAGCAAAATGATTTCAAACAAGTATAATATGGCCAGTTTATGACAACTAAAAAATTTGTTACAATGAAGGGCTTTAAATTCCTCAAGAAATACCCTCATGTTCCAATTTAGGATTTCATGACCTATCAGTGCTCAAATTATTTCCCAAGGCAGATGGAGTTGGATAACTTGGTCAGCATGCAAAGGAAGGGTGTTAGTTTAGGGCCTTTTGTAATTTTTTCTCTTAGCAAGCATGGGACGTTTATATAATATAAATTAAAAAGAATATTTATATTATTATCTTTAATTTATGAGTGAGTAAAAGTATTATTTTTAAATAATTTAAAAGTATTTTTAGACTTTAATAACCATATTGCTTTACAAACCATACAAATAAATAACACAATTAAATAAATACATAATTTTGTAAAATAAATTTTCGAGCTACAAGCAATCAAAGGAGTCCTCAGCAGCAATACTAAGAGATAATGGAGACAGCTCTCCTTATATTATGCTATTCAAAAAATAAGCTGCAATTGGGTGAATATGTTGTAATAAGGGAACGAAATTAGGATTTATCTAGCAAGATTTTTAAAGAAAGGTATTTAAATTACTTCAGCTAACATCCATAACTTGAATTATTTCAAAATGCATCTGCAAAGTAGGCTTCATATCAGCAAAATAAAAACGCTCAAATACCTGAAGTCTGCCTCCATATTTGTTGGTGGCATCTTGAATCAACTGAAGAAGCAAGTCTTTTTCCTTTCGGATCCACGGACGATTATGATCATGCCACTGTCTTGGAGTTCCATGAAATAAAATACGCAAACTTGAATTGCTAATCATCAAATTCTGTGCAATTTCCTTGATCACAGCTTTATCAGTCAAATAAGCTCCATGACAGTTCAGTCCAACATCAACATAGTGAAACTCAGAGATGCTGTGAAGAAAACTACCATTAGAAGTAGCGAAGATGCCATCTCTTGCTTCTAAAGTTGGAGAAGCAGAATTTAGCATTTTGATTGCATTCAAGTGAGCAAATTCAGCAACAATTTGGTTTATTACAGTCCCACCCTTACTAAACCCAAACACAGCAGTTTTTGGCGAAAGTATTTCTGATATTGCCAACTCATCTTTGTAGCCCAAGACGGAGCTTTTGACCTGTCCATTAACAAGAGGACAAATGCATCATAACCATCTAGATGCTAAAAATATTATGTTTCAGATTGCAAGAAAAATAATATATAAGGATCATGAATGTGATTTCCAGCATGCTTAACCACGTCTGAATCTAACATCTAGAATACATATGCTGCAATGTTCACAATGAATTGAAATTGCTTGCATAAAACAGGTCAAAGTCATCTCAATAGGACAGGGCGAACCAAGTTCATGCATTATATATAACAAGCCAAATTTCACTTTTATGAACTTCAAAGCTGTCTAAAAAAAAGCGGTCTCCTTCAGTAAACATTTAACCAGATTAAAAAATGTACTGCTAAATTGTAATTGCAGACTCGAGCAAAAAATCAACTTGAATTAGCTCGGCAAGTCCTGGAAAAACCTCACTTGCTCGTCCATAAAGCTTAAAAATCTTGATTGCAGATTCTTTTTCAGTAGTTTGTGTTACCTCGCAATTAATGGAGTCGCTCTTTTTCTATCTCTGAAATATCCACTTTAGCAGATCTTGCTTTACAAGTAACTCAAGAATAGAGCTATGCTGAGTTGAGTCCAGAAAATCTCATCAATTAATGACACATTTAGTAGGCATCAAACTTGTAAATAGCATAAAATTAAATACGCAATAGTTAATAACGTAATATTGCGCTTCTTTAACAATTTACAAATCAAGTTGCAGGAAAGCAAAATAATGAACGATGTGAGCAACGTGGAAAAATGTGTTCACTATAACGTATAATACACATAGTGCGCTTTATTTTATTAGTGACACTTATGCACTCTTTCATCCATCAATCAAATAATTCTTTAAGCTATTTTCTTCCAACTATCTTGTTCTTCCTCTATTGCACTTCAAGTTTTTTGTTTGTTAATTTTGATTGGTTGTTAGCAATATTAAGTTCTACATTGCTTTGAGTTTATGTGATTATTATTATTTAGCTATCAATTTGTAAAATCATCTTGTTCTGTGCCATATTTCTACATTCAGTGGCTAGAAGAAATATAAAATTGGAAAAAATATCAAAATTAGGTCACACTTCTTAATGTTCTATTTATTATATGACATTGATAGTGCCTTTTTTGTCTTATGGTATTTTCTTTTATATTCATGATTTTTTAATATTTTACACTATTTTTAAAATGTGAAATGTGTATGGCCTCACATAACCCCTAGTGTTATGATATGATACTTGTTATTTACAATATGTTGGCAGTTCATGATAACAATTGTAACAAATTGTATATTGAAAAATAATAATAATAATAATAATAACAACAAAAACAATAATAATAATAATAATAATAATAATAAATAAATAATAAATAATTTAATCTTTATCATAGCAAAAAATGCCTCATAACTTCACACAAATTTTTTGTCCTCTATCAACACAATCTGTCATGATTTGAATGAATCAGTAGAGATTTCTTTGCATAGTCTTTTCTCCCCTACAATTTTTGAGATCTCACTGCCTTCACCCTTCACAAGCTTTTGCCACTTCCGCAATCAAGATCACTATGATCGCCCATCCCCTTTACATTTTCCTTCTCCATCTTCCCTCAAATGTTGGCAAACCTTCAGTGTTTGGTGATCGACAACATATATGAACTTTACCTTTTCTCTCGCTCTTCTTCTGCTTGGGACTCTATGACAAAAAGTGATCAAGGAGGCAAGAAACTGAGAGAAACATCTTATCTATATTTGCCTCCATCTTGCTATTTAATCAGGCAAGGAGGAGGTAGTGAGGTGTTTTTTAATATTTATGCATAAATTCATGAAGTTAAGTTTTTTTAGTAGATCAAGTCTTTGGGTTATGGATGAATGGTCAATTACACAATAACTTTAAAGAGAAAATTTGAGTTAACGTCTTTACCTAAAAATTAGCTTAATTTGGTTTTCCTTTTGAAATGGACTAGAATAGTTAATGTTACAATCTTGAAATTAGGGAGGCATTTTAGATTAGAAATTACTTTTAATATTTCTACAAATTTAAAGACAAGTAGATAATTACTATAGATTAGCAATTGCAGGTATATAAGCGATTAATTAAATATTTTATTATTTAGTATTTTTTATGCTCATTCAATGTTATTTCTATAGCCTAGATGAGTGTTGAATTCAAGTAGTAGGCCTCAAGGTAAGTAATTTTTTTTTATTGGGGGGAAAACATATCCTTACTCATTAGAGCACTTTTCTCTATACTTTTTATAAATATCAACTGCATTTAACAAGCTCTCAATCATGTTCTATTTATTCATGATGATTCTTATGCTCATAACGATATAGTCATGATGATTGATGCATAAATTGATCACTCATGAAATGATACGTACAATGGAATAATTAGTTTTACCTTTACATTGCATTTGCTAATGTGATGCAAAATCATGCTCATACTATCCACAATCTATTATTGCATATTGCTCATGGTCTAAAATTATATAAGCTATGCTGGTGTTCTTGCTGAAAAAAATTGTTGACAGTATTCTCTTAATTGATGTAATAATGACCAACTTGGTAGATAGACTTAATGTGCAAAGTAACGCCTCCTTTAAGTGGTTGACGAACTTTATTAGTAAAGTTCAGGTTAGTAATGATCTTCCTTTGGATTTAAGGTATATGGGAGGCGACTATATATCATATAACATGGGCTAATGGGACTTGGATTACTTATTATTGAGTATATCTATACATAGCGTGTATGCTCATCAACATTTTAAAAATTAACTACACTGAATTTCATGTTCATATGATTGTTTATGAAACTCTTTACATAGTTATCACCATTGATTAGTGGCCATTTTTAAATTCTTTGCATGTAAGTCATTTAATTAATGCAATGGTAATTTCGCACAAGCTCTACGTAGCCCAAATTATTCAAGCAGTTCAGCAAGCAGCCCAACACAACAGTTGGTCACAATCACACCAGCCATTACAAGAACAGAAGTGGATCAGGTAAAAATAATTTCGCAAATAATTCATGAGAACAAGTTGAATGTTGTAGCTTAGGCTAATATAAGATTGGGACTTCATCTATTATGTAGGCTAGAAGAGATAGATTAAGTTATGGAGTTGTTCCAGAAAACTTGTTATCCAAAGTTTGGTGGAGCAGGCCCTATGAATCAAATGCTTGGTCTCATGACATTAAGAAGTGACTTAGATCTTTCAAGTACCGTAAAATGTAAGACGTAATTGGGGTAATTTCAGTTTGGAGATATTGTTGGCTAATGGTGGGAAGGACATATTCAAAAAAAGCTTGAGCCTAGTTTAAAAATTCTTTGAAAAAAGTCTAAGAAACTATTCCATGAGTAATATTTCTTACTGAAAGATCTTGTAAAGTTGATGGATGATCCGAGGAAATTAGAGCAAGGATAAAAAATTATTCGTGAGTAAGAGACTCGGTTTGCTTATATTATCAAGTTTCTTCCCTCCATTATGGAAAACCTAAAGATGTATACCTTGCTATGTGATTTGAGAGAAGATATTAAGAAATACATATCCAATGTCAATGGCAGAACCTAAGAGAGCTGGTAGATTGGGCCCTTTATGCAGAAAAAATAGATCAATTCTTGAGAAGGAATTCTAGAAAATTAAATAGGGCAAATAACTAAAGATTTTTGTCCATAAGTGAGAATTTTATCGATTATCTTGTTTATGTAGTGGATAACAACAAGTCTAGTGCTAGCTTAGATAATATACCCAATAGCTTAAGAATTTTCTACTATGTTTATTGAGAATTTATCTTGAAATTCACTTGATCTAAGGGGAAGTTCATCATTAAATATAGTTCCAAGTACAACTCCAATCTCCAAGGAACCATATTGCACGGCAACCACTAAGCTTCAAGAGATCAAAGTTCTGTTGCAAGAACTAGTTGGAAAAGTATTCATTAGGCCCAATCAACCGCCTTCAGGAGTGTCAATTTTGCTCATGAAGAGCAATAAGATTACGTATTAATTACAAAAATTCAGACAAGGTGATCAACGATCCTGAAGAATAAATACCCCTACTATCCCATATTGATGATCTATTTGACTAGTCGTAAGTTGCCTCAATTTTTTAATAAGATTTATCTTCATCTAGCTGCCAACAATTGAAGATTAAGAATGAGTAAATGTCTAAGATGCCCCTTCAAATTCAACATGATCACTATGGATTTCCAGTAAAGCCATTTGTGTAGAAGTGTGAGTGAGTCAAGTCCGCTCACGAACTAGCTCAAGCTCATCTCATTAACAAGCACAAATCAAACTTATCAAGCCACAAGCTCTAGCCTAAGCTCAGATTAATACTCATATTATATGAGCTTGACTTTGAGTGTGACAAAACTCAACATGTTGGCTTGTCGAGCTACAAAATTAAATCCTATAAAATCATAAATCATGTTTCTCCCTCATTTAATAATAAATCTCTGATCTCACAAATTGTTGCCCTTCTTCGATTGCCGCAAGTCTCACAAACTCCTCTTCTTTAAACATCACTAGTTTCATTGATGTCTTCTCTAAAGAGTTCTAATTAACTTCCTCATCATCAATGCCTTCTCCAACAAGCTCCCATCGTGGCATCCTCATCATTAATGCCTTTCTTAGCGAGCTCCCATAACGACTTCATCATTGTTGATGGCATCCCAGTGCACTCCAATCGCAACATCTTCGTCATTGATGTCTTTTCCAACGAGCTTCCATTACAACTTCCTCATTGTTGATGCTTTCTTCAACAAACTCCTGTCATGACTTCCCTTTTTTTGTTGACAGCAGTTTCAAAAAATTGGGAGACAAAATTCAAGCTCACAAGTTGAGCTCAAACCTTGCTGATCTGGTAAGCCAAGTTCTGAGTTCAATATATGAGCTCAAAATTAAGCCCACAATGAGATAGGTGAGATAAGCTCAAGTTAGCAATGGATCAAGCTTGATTGAACTTGTTTACACCCCTATATTCGAATTAAATAATACTCTTGCTATATTCATGAATTTGATGAATAAAT